GACCTAGCTTCCTAGAGAGAACACCCTCCCACCCTGGAGGTGGAGTGCCCTTTACTGGGTCTCTAAGTGCTTATGTCACCAGCTGCACCTGCCCCTCCATTTTCTGCCCCCTTTCCTGAGGCAGGTGAGCAAGGCAGAACTGGCACCTTGGGTATTGGAAATCCAGATCCCAATGGCCCCACCATGAACTGCTTCATCTTACACATCCCCTTACACATTTCTCAGTTTGTTCTACCCTCTCCCTGCTGCATATCTATTGGGCATATCCTGTCACCTCCTTTCCACACCCACAGTCCCACATATGGCCATTTCCCTGAAAACTACACTAGAAAATAAGACACCTCTTCCACAGATATCCACACACACATCATGATTACACTCATACAGTAGCTGAGGGATAACCTCAGCCCATCGTATATGCCCATTATACAGGAACAGTTAGAGAGACACACTCTTATCTATTATAGAAAACACACATTCACTTGCATTCTCACACAGACAAATCCAGTTGTAAAAATGACCCAGACTCCCTTCCTCTCCCCCAACCCCCTTACAGACATGTTTTGCTTGCAGTTGAATCCCAACAGCCTAACACTAGTACATAATAGACACCCAATACATATTTGTTGGGTAAATTTAAAAAATTATTCCTCAGAGACAAGCCCAGTATATCTGCATGACCATCCTCACTGTCACGCACACTTTCACATCTGGCTTTCCCCTCATGGACACACAGTCCCACAAACACAAAGTAATTAAGTTATCACACACACACACCCCTAAGCTAAAGGACAACCCCTGGCCCAGGGGTCTCTCCCAGAGGGGGGGGAGGGAGCCCTGTGGGATCCAAAGGGGCTGCCCTCGGTGGCTGAGCCCTCCTGTTTCTCCTCCCCCAACCCCAGCCTCAGCCCCAGCTGCTCCTCTTTTAATTGGAGGCACTTCTTTATTCTGCAGGCTAGGAGAGTGGATGGTGCTTGCGGGGGGGGGGGGGGGGGGGGGGGGGGGGGGGGGAATTACCAGGTGGCCTCAGGGCTGGAACTCACCTAGATGTGTGTGCAAGATACTCCTGCAAAGCACGGGCCACATCTACCAAGTCTGATGTTGAGAAATCAGCTTCTAATGATTGGAATCAGAAAAACAGCATTTGAGTCTAGTTCCTGTCTCTTCCTGGCTTTCAGTACCTCAGTGTTCTCATCTGTGAAATGGAGATAACATCACAGGGTTACTGGTGGACAACATGAGATAATCACCATGACTGAGGGTGCCTAGGATGTCACTGTGCTTTGTCCTCCGGCTTTCTTTTCCTCCCCTACTCCTTCCTAACAGGGCTACTCTGCATGGCATGCAGAAACACTGTGGAAATGCAAAAACTGCACCACGGGAGGTAAGCTCCGTGTGAGTTTCCTCCCCAGTTCAGAAAAACTTTCCAACCTGCAGCAGTGTGCTCAGGGAACACTGCTTCCGGGAGGGGCGGGGGCCAGAACCCGGTGACTCCTGACCCTCTTGTCTCAACTTCCTAGGAAGAGAAGGGACTGAAAGGGTACCCCAGGCCCTCAGCAACTACCTCATTGGAAAACAAAGGCTGAGGTCAAGTTGGACACAAAAAACCTCATCTTGGGGGAGGCCAGCACCTCAGAACAGAATTGGAAGAAAAGTTGACTCTGATAAGTAGGAGAGATGGGGGGTGGAGGGGAGTATGGAAGACAATGGTGAGGCGAACAGATGTAAGGGCAGGGGAAAGTCAGGATGTCCCTGGGTTGCAGGATTTTGATGAGAAGAGCATCCCAACAGTCTTAATGGGCCACTAGGCAACTGTGACCTCTGCCAACCTTGGGCTAGGCCAGCAAGGGTGAAATCTCCTGCCACGGACCCTGGCCAACGGATGCCAGATCTGAGGAGTTCAAGACGCAGTACGTAAGTAAGTCAGGTGCCCAAATGGGGAAGGTCAGAAAGACATAGGTACTGGAAAGTTTCATCCAGAGGAGGAGGGAGGGAGGAATGGGGACAGTGTTAGGAACATGCAGGGGGTTTCCTGCACGGGCCAGAGAGTGGCAAAGGGAAGTTGTTCTAAGGATAACTTAGAAAGACAGGATTTTAATTGCAGCAGGCAGAACTGTAGTTAGTCATGAAAAGGACCAGGGCCACTGCAATCCAGCCTCAAAGGAAGCAGAAGCACCTCTCTCCATAATTTTCAGCCTCATCCAGGGAAAAGAGTTCAGATTTTGGGAACCCAGGTCAATCTTCTTCTGTCTGTGGAACTTTGGGTAAGTTTGTTCCTCTTACCAAGTCTCAGTTTTTGTTTTTTTCTTTTTAAAAATGATTATAATTCATATACCATAATATTCCCTTTAAATCATAAATTCAGTGGTTTTAAATATATTCACCAAGTTGTGCAAACATTACCACCATCTAATTCCAGAATATTTTCATCACTCCAAATAGAAACTTTGTATCCATTTGAAGCCACCTCCTAACCTTCCTCCTCCAACCCCTGACAACCACTAATCTATTTCTGCCTCTATTGATTTGCCTATTCTCGACGGTTCATATAAATGCAGTCATATAATGTGTGGCCTTTTGTGCCTGGCTTCTTTCACTTAGCATCATGTTTTCTAGGTTCTTCCATGTTGTAGCATGAATCAGGACTTCCTTTTTATTCTTTTTTTTGGATGAATAATATTCCACTGTGTACCACATTTTATTTATCCATTCATCACATGATGACCAATACTGCTATGAACATTCATTCAATTTTCTTAGTTATTTAAAAATTAGAGATTTTTCCATTAACTTCACAGATTTGTTGTGAGTCTTAATGAGATCAGTGTGGTATGGTGTCTGGCACATAGTAGTTTCTCAGTAAAACACTTATGTTTATCTCTGCTTTAGTTCCCCCAAGACAAGAGGCAGGAAAGAGACAAATTTAGGTTCAAACAATATTTTTTGAAAGTTACAAAACCTTCCTTTATTGGCTCTCAAACTGAGTGAAGCTCTGATCTGTTGAGATGATCTGACGTTTACCATGGACAGGTTCAAACAATTTTTGATGAAAGTTATGGCGTCTCCAGGGTAGAGGTGTAGAACCTGGATTGGGTGGATGGAGAGGAGCAAACTGGCAAGGGAGTAGAGCTCTCTCCTATTTCTGCTTAGTATTTACAAACCACCACCTTCTTCACATCTGGCCTTGCTCTGAGTGGGCCTTTGTCCACCTGCCTGGAGCCCAGACAAGGTTTTCCCCACAGAGATGTGCTTCCAACCAGCAGCCAGGTTTCCAGACTAACCTATAAAAGCAAGTCAAATCCAGCTCCTCTGTCTTGATCAGATCACTTAGCCTCTCTGAAATTTGCTTTCTTACACCTATAAAATGGGGATAATACTCATCTTGAAGAGTTAGTGAAGTTCATAGTGTTCTCCATAACACTTATCGTCATCTGACTTAATGTATTTGTTGTTTATTGTCTAACCCCTTCTATGGAATGTAAACTCCATGAGGGCAGGACCTTTGTTTTATTTACTGCTGTTTTCTCAATGCCAAGAACAATGCCTGACACATGGTAGGTATTCAATAAATATTTGTTGAATAACAAGGTTGTTCTTTCATTTTTCACCCAGGATGAGTATATCCTGAGGTTTGGGGGTGTACTCCACAGCCGGGTGGGGGGGGCACTGAGATGAGTAAACCATTCCCTGTTTCCAAGGAGATCTCTTCAAGTGGAAATAACAGACATGACCAAAGCAAATAGACTGTAACAAGATTTGATGAGTAAAATGCAAACCTTTATATTCTAGCATCTTGCCTGATAGAGACAGTCCCTCCTTGAAGACCTGTTGAATCTGATATAGACCAGAAATAGATCCCAAGTGATCCAACCTGTACCCTTCCCAGAGCTTGGCTCCTTCGAGGGAGCAGACCTTTCCCTACTGAAGAGGGAAAAGAGAGGAAGCAGAAAAAGGGAGTTTCCTCCTTCTCTCCTGGGCTCTAAGCCAGTGAGCCACAGGCTGACTTTAAACTTTAAAAGGCCTCAATTTGTCCGGATGCACTTTCCTGATCTTGGTCCCACCAAACCCAGCCCCCACTGCCTTAAGTCCCCTACGCCTCCCTCCCAGGATTCCAAAAGTAAGAAAATAACTCCTTCCCCTCACCACAGTCCAAGGGTTTCTTGCTTGGAATAGCCAGCCCTGGGCTAGTTGCTAGGTGAAAGCAATCTGACTGAACACACTGTGGGAACTGCTTCTTGAGGCTTCTATTTAAAAGGAAAGGGGTATCTTGAGGCATGGGCACCCTGGCAGCAGGCAGCAAGCCAACTCCCTTAACTTGTGCTTGCCTCTCAGGAAGTCTTCCTTTCCTTAGTTTCTCTAAATAGGCTGAGTTGGGGTGGTTGTTGATTTTTCCAACAACATATAGCCAGTTGTTCATAGGCCTGTGTTTTAAAAAAAGGACAAGCCTGAACTCACCTTCCCGCCTCAGCGGCCTGTGCTCCATACCTGGGGAGTAGACAGTCTTCTACTTTCTAACAAGCCAGGCCTGAAGTTTGGAGTAAATCCTCTTGTTGAAGGACAGGTGCTTCCCAGCTGAGCCCTTGGGGAGGTTCTCCAGTAGCTCACGGACACCCTTCCCCAGAGGCCTAGCAAGGTGGACCCCTTTGGCCCAATTCAAAGTGGGGAGACTCCTGCCAGGCTGGGAAGAGGTCTCTGTCCTCCACCTCCTCGGGTCCGTCTGTTTATACAGGGTCTCTGGGAATGGCCGCCTCCTGTTCTTTTTCTCCTTTTAAGTCTCTGAATCCCTTCTTCTCTCTCTTCCTGAACTACTCCGAGCCTCGGTCTCCGTCCCTCTGTGTCTGGCTCCTGCATCAGTCTCGGCTCCCGGCCTCCCTCTCCCCCTCTCCGCCCCTCCCCCGCGCTGTCATTCACCCCGCTCCTCTCCACGCACAGCCAATGAAGAGACCCGGCCGAAACGGCTAGGCTCGCTCGCACCGGGCTTTTTCGCCCGGTGATTGATGTCCCAGAGTCAACATCTAGCAAGCAGCCGGAGAGGGGAAGGAGCAGCCGGAGAGGGGAAGAATACGGCGCCCCCTCTCCCGTCCCCTCCCCCCTACTTTAGCCCTCCGCGCACTTCGCCTCCAAGTCTCCGCGCAGCCAGGAGCCGCTGCCGCCTCCGCGCCCCTGCGCGCTGCCCTCCAAGCCAAACACAGCAAACGCCGCCGCCCAGGCCCCCCCGCGGGGCCGGGGCCGGGGGCCAGCATGGAGCACCTGGGCCCGCACCATCTCCACCCGGGCCATGCGGAGCCCATCAGCTTCGGCATCGACCAAATCCTCAACAGCCCGGACCAAGGCGGCTGCATGGGGCCCGCCTCGCGCCTCCAGGACGGAGAATACGGCCTTGGCTGTTTGGTTGGAGGCGCCTACGCTTACGGTGGAGGGGGCCCCGCAACCGGGGCGGGGGCCGGGGGCGCGGGGGCCTATGGTGCTGGCGGTCCGAGCGGCCCTGGTGGCCCGGCGAGCGGCGGCGGCGGCGGCGCCTGCAGCATGGGCCCGCTGGCTGGCTCCTACAACGTGAACATGGCCTTGGCGGGCGGCCCTGGTCCCGGCGGCGGCGGCGGTGGCGGCGGTGGCGGCGGCGGCGGCGGCGGCGGCGTTGGGGGGGCCCTGAGCGCTGCGGGGGTGATTCGGGTGCCGGCGCATAGGCCGCTAGCTGGAGCGGTGGCCCACCCTCAGCCTCTGGCTACCGGTTTGCCCACCGTGCCCTCCGTGCCTGCGGTGCCGGGTGTCAACAACCTCACCGGCCTCACCTTCCCCTGGATGGAGAGTAACCGCAGATACACAAAGGACAGGTTCACAGGTGAGTCCGGCCCGCGCGCGCCCCGCCTGGCCGCGGCCCGGGCTCTGCGCTACCTTTTCCCCGCCCGGTGACTCCCCGCAGCCCCTTCTGTGCACCAGGTTGTTCAGCTCCTCTCGGTGCTTCCCCCAAGTGCAGCCGCCCGCCACCTTTCCACGCTCGCGGAATCGCCATGCTCGAGAAGAGTTCTCCCAGTCTGGGCCCCTCTCCGTTTCTCCCGCAGGACTCCCACACTGAAAAGCGCCCCCCGATCCCCTCTCGGAGTCCCTGGGCTCAGTCAGGCGGAGGAAAGGGCGATGTAGCTTGGGGACTACCTTCCGCCGACATTTGGGGCTCGGTAATCTTGGAGAAAGGGGTGCGATGTGAACAAACTGTTTCTTCCGTCCCGGCCAACGTTCTCTGGCTAAGGCGGTGAGCCCCAGAATCAGACGCAAGGAAAGAACAGGTTCCCCACCTCTCGTTCCCTACACACACACACACACACGCACACGCGCGCGCTCGCGCACACACACACACCACTTCGCGCTCGGATCTCCAGTGCCCGTTGCGCTTGCCGGGCCCGGCAGAGGCCCCGAGCCTGAGTAAAGCAGCAGAGCTGACGGGCCCTTCTTTCCAGACTGCGGGCTTCGTCCAGGTCGGTGGCAGCGTGAGGCTGAGCCTCCTGCTTCATTTTCGTTCGGTCGTGGCATGGCGTCCTCCCCTCGGGGACCAGCCCTGTTCCCTCCAGTGTGAATAATGCACCGGCTTGGCCGGCGATCGATCGGCGGCGGCCGAAGGACAACTCCTGGGACGATTACGCACTCGGCGGCGGCCGGCTGCCGCCCTCTCGGCTGCCAGCTCCGCGCCTTCCTCCGCTCGCCGCGGCTCCCTCCGCTCTAGCTTCCGCTCTCGGCACTCAGCTCTCGCTCACGCGCGGGCCCCTTTCTCCGGCCTCACTTCCCGCTGCCTCTTAGCATTTCTAGGATCCGAGGCTACGATCCTTGATCCTCCCGCCCAACCCCGCTCCCATGCCCGCTGAGAAGTAACCACGAGTTGAGCCAGGGTTCCTGGCCGGGACTTAGAAGGCAGGAGGTACGGGCCGCTGCGGATGACGACGTGGGACTCCCATGGGGCTAGGGATCTGGGCCCAATGGTGGAAAGGAAATAGGCAGTTTAGAGCTACACTCTCAGGTAGGCGACCCCAAGGAACACCAGGCCCCTTGCTCCTGTTCGGGCCTTGGAACCTTGGCTCACAGGCTAGGTCTGTGGCAGAGGTGTGTGTGTGTGTGGGTGCAGCAGAGGCAATACAGCCGTTCTGCTCTGGGCCTCCAGGAAGGACCCTGTACTCAAGGGACCCCAGTCCCCACCCCAAGTCCTCTCAGGCCTGGGGAGGCAGAGCCTGCTGCTCATTCCACTCCCCCAACGCAGGCCAGGCCAGCCTTGAAGGGCTCTAATGGAACCCTCAGCCTAGAACCCACTGGTCTTGGGTCTCTGGTGAAAGGTGTTCCACATAGGACCTACCTAGGCGAGTCACAGCACACCCTAATCTTGCTTCAGGCCTGAAGAAGGTTCTGAGGAAGTGAATAACTGTCACTTGTGTTGCCCCGTGTCCTGTATGTGTCTGCTTGTGTCCCTGTCCCTGTGTGTCAGACTGGGTGTATGGATCTGTAATTTACCCCCCTGGTATGTGATGTGTCTGTGGATGTTGCTGCGTACTGGTGGCTCAGTTCAGGACCCAGGGTCCACCCCCCCTACACACACCCGACCAAGCACTGCCCCTTGCTGCTGGGCAGCTTCTCTGAGGCTGGAGGCCTGGGGCAGTGGGGGCCTGCGACCTTTAGCTCACCTCAGACATGCCCCTCAAGGAGACTCGAGAGGCGACTGCGCCGGTTCTGGCTGGGCACGTGGGAGCCCCGAGCCAGAGAGGCCTCCGTGGCGGCGGCCTGGCGGGCGGGCGGGGGCCGTTGCCTGCCGCGGGCTTGGAGCTGAGGGCTGACGGGAGGATCACGGCCCCGCTCCTGGGGTCTAGCCGCTGCGCTCGCTGATCGCGGGGAGTCGGGCCTGGGACGCCTCCTGACGCTCTGCCGCTTGCCTCTGCCGTCTGTCTGTCTCCCGCTCCAGTGGCCCTCTCACCCTTCACTGTAACACGCCGTATAGGTCACCCCTATCAGAACCGGACGCCCCCCAAGAAGAAGAAGCCGCGCACGTCCTTCACGCGCCTGCAGATCTGCGAGCTGGAGAAGCGCTTCCACCGCCAGAAGTACCTGGCCTCGGCCGAGCGCGCCGCCCTGGCCAAGGCGCTCAAAATGACCGACGCGCAGGTCAAAACCTGGTTCCAGAACCGGCGGACGAAGTGGAGGTGAGCGCGCTGGGCGGGCAGCTCTCTGTGCCGGGGTCTCTCCTGGGGCGCTCACACCCCCTCCGCTCGCCAGCTTCTGATCGGTTCCCTGCTAGGCTGGCCGGGAACGGGGAGCAACCGAGCCGAGGCTGGAGAGCCCCCGCTCTGTTTTACCGGAGGCTTCTTGGCTTTCTGGCCGACACACTCAGTGCTGGTGTAGACGCGGCTGGTCTCCGCCGCTGCTTGGGGAAATGGCGGGGCTCAAGCACAGTCCATGCAATCCATGCTTCGGGGATCAGAGTCCTGAGGGACTTTCTGTTTGTGCAAGCTCGCGCTTACAGAGATGTCTCCTCCAAATGAGACTGGAGGCCGGATGGCCCGCGCCTTGTTTCTGCGCCCCAGCGCCCCAGCGGGGGCTCCTAGCGGAGCCGCCAGGCTCCAAACCACCGGCCATCCTGCTGACTCCCTCTCCCCAGGCACTCCGCGCGGCCCTCTGGCAGCCAGTCCCCCACTCTGGAAGAGGAAAATCAATCCGCACCGGCTGTAGCGGGGTTTTGGAGAGTCCCACTGAAAGGGGGATCAATTAGGAGCAGATGGGTGTGGTGAGAGAGAAAGAGACACACACATTTACCCTTCTCCCATCACACACCCACAACCACACTAAAATCCCCCCCACATACATCTCTCTGTCTCTCTCTCTCTCTCTCAACGAGTCCCACACTCTGGCAGACTTATTCACCGCAACTACCGGCACTTTCTCCAGCTGCACCCACTTGCACCACTGCACCCTCGGGCACATCTGGCCCGCATATTCCGTTCTCCACACGCGAGAAGTTTCTCGCTAGTTCAGGCCTTAGGGGGGCGAGCGCAGGAGAGTCTGGGCGAAGTCCGCAGCTCCGGGCCAGAGGGGCCCAGAGCTGGAGCAAGGAATTGGGAGTTTCCTCTTTTTCTGAATGAAGGCGAGGAATCTGCCCGGGATTCCGCCATCGTGGCCACAAAGGAAGCCACTGCCCCACCACTCTGCCCCCCCATTCCTGTCTCTGGGGGAAGAAATGGGGGTACGGCTTCAGACCTCTGGAAGGCTAAAGAGGTAGCAAGGGCTAGCTGAATAGGGGTGCGGGCACTAGTTTCCCAAGGCGCCACCAGGCTGCGGCCTAAGCGAGGGGAGGGAGCAACGCAAGCCCCTGGAAGAGAGGGGCATAGAGAGACAAGAGAGTGGCAGGCAGAGAGGGGGCAGGGGGCAAAGATAACTAGCCCACCCCAGGAAGAAAAGGAAAAACCAGGCAGCCTGGAGAAGTCTTAGGATAATAAAGGAAAGCAACGGATGATTAAACCTCCATTTTCGTTTCAAACAAATTCTCTTAATTCTGAGAGAACGAAGGGAGTGGGGGTGAGAGAAAATGGGAGATAAAGACACAACGCCTGAAAGGAAGAGAACCAGTCAGGCGGTTTGAAATGCAGGAGAGAAGGGTGAGGCGAGAGTCAGAAAGACGCGTGGAGCAAAAGGCAAGAAGGGGCGGCGGCGGGAAGGAGGCGGGCGTCCACCGCTGGGAGAGGCCCTTGCCGGCTTCGCCCGGCTTCATCGATCGCCTACAAATTGCTTCTGGAGGCCCCCGGGACTCCCATTAGGTCTGTCCACCTTAGAGACAGACGTTTGATCTCAGTTGACGGGGTGGAGGGAAGGCATTAAATGGAATAAGTGAGTCATCGCCTCCCTGGACCGCCTCGGAGGAAGGCGTCTGGTCCAGCGGGAGTCCCCGCAGGGCACAGGGCTCCGTGCAGGAGGCAGGGAGCCTGCCACAGGATCGCAGAGAACAGGAAGAAGAGAGGTCAGGCAAGGCAGCTCCTAATTCACCGGCCCTTGTCTCTGCCCTGGGCTGGTGGGGAGGGTGGGGCACCTCAGGCTTGGGACGGCGGAGCTGGGGAGAGGCAAGATACCATCCTACCCCTGGCTGCGCCATCCTAGGCTAGTGGGAGACGGAGAGCCCCAGATGCTTGGGCCTAGCGGATTTTCCCACAGCTCCCCCGGGATACCCATGCTCCATTTACTTTTGGGGTTTCCTGTCTTTGTCAGAGTCAGGACCCTCAAGATAAGGGTGTTGTGTTAAAGGGGCCCAAGCTGGAGTTGGGAGCTGCGAAGGGAGCAGGGCTCCTCCAGGCTCTTTTCCGGGAGCACACCCGAAGCGTGGGTAACGGCTTGTCCCCGGTGCAGGCGGCAGACCGCCGAGGAGCGTGAGGCTGAGAGGCAGCAGGCGAACCGCATCCTCCTGCAGCTGCAGCAAGAGGCCTTCCAGAAGAGTCTGGCACAGCCCTTGCCCGCCGATCCGCTGTGCGTGCACAACTCTTCGCTCTTCGCCCTGCAGAACCTGCAGCCGTGGTCCGACGACTCCACCAAGATCACCAGCGTCACGTCGGTGGCTTCGGCCTGCGAGTGAGCCTGCCTGCCCCACCCCTCGAGAGCCCGGGTCCAGCCAAGGGGGCACTGAGGCTGAGAACCAGGACTCTCTCCCCCCTCCCGCTTCAGACTGCATGCGGGAGGGGAACGCGGCGCCCCTCCGCACTGGCCCTGGAGCTCCTGCCGACGCTGTTTCTCCTCTTTGATGGAAAAAAAAACAAAAAAACAAAAAAGAGCGTGGGAGACAGGGACACGGACCTCCTTCCAGATGCCTAAGTGGTCCTGCACCCTCTGGAACTGTTCAGAGTCCTCTCAGTTTGCATCTATTTTATTTTATTCTGATTTTTAACGTGGGACTGAGAGAGGCAGAGGAGGTGGGGGAAGAAGAGCTTCTGAGGTCCTCAAAGGACAGCATGGGCTGTCATTTGAACTTGCTCTGGGGAGACCCCCTCTGTATTCCACTCCCCATCACACACGACACCCAAAGGCCCTGCCAGAGGTGATTTTACTGTCCCTCCTGGTGTCCCCCAGAGTCAAACACAGAGGACCTACGGCAGAGTGTCATAGCCTTCACACCCCTGACTCTCACTATCAGGCATAAGCTAGGGGTGACCCAGCTTCATTGTGAACAGCATGGCACTTCTCACAAACACAAGGCTATGGCCACACTGTGACACACTATCCACACACAACAGCGCCACGGCCTGCCAGGCCCCCATCATACATTAGCCGCACCCAGGTACGCACAGGCAGGTTTTCACACAAACTCAGCCTATTTCTCCAGATCCTATTCATAGGGGAGCTTAAGTTATGCACTTATAAGGTGTTTTCTGTGTAACCATTTTATAAAGTGCTTGTGTAATTTATGTGGAAAAAAAAATAAAACCCTCCGGATCCGGAGTCAGGGCTGCCTGCTCCTTGCTGAGCCCAGCAACTTGCAGCTATTTGGGTTTGGTGTGAAGTGGCACTGCTGGGGCCGCTGCTGGGGCAGCACGGGTGTCTGCTCAGGAGGGACATCTGGGGGCCAGGACCCGCAGGCTCTGCGGAGAGGGGAGGAGAGACGGCAGACCTGAGGAAAGGAAGGAGTGCCAGGGTCTCCTGGGACAGCTAATGCTCAAGAGGATATACTGTCTCTGGGTGTGAGGGTCACGGGTGTGCCCTGTGTGTTCGTGATGGTGTGGACAATCGGATGATACTGATAATGAATGTAATTTTGTTCAAGCGTGTCACTGTGTTTGCAATTATTGTAAGTGCTTGTTTCTGCTTAAGTTGCAAATCGAAACTATCATTGTACGCACCAACTTGCAGTGGTGCGTGGTGTGTCTGTAACCATGTGTGAATGTGATTGTTTCTTTTTGGGTAATTGTGATCACCCATCCGTATTTGTGACTGTGTATGAATCATGTGCTTATGTGTGTGAGAGTACCTATTCGTTTCTCCTCGTGAATCTATTTTTGTGTTAAATGTGTGAATGTTTGTAATTGTGAATCATCTGTAATTGTATGAATATAATTGTGTGTGATATGTAATCATGTGTGACATTTAATCATGTTTGACATGTAATCATACATGAGATGTGTATTTTACTGTATATACGTGTGTGTGACAGTATGCAATGGGGGTGTGAATTAGGGGGGAGTGTGGATCATTGTGGGTGACCCTTCCTGCAGGTGAGTGTGTGCGGTTGTGACTGAGTGGGTGTAATGGTGCAATGCTGGTGGGGGGGGTCTAAGGTGGGCTATGCAGGTACACCGGGGGGCGAACCAACATCTGCTAGGAGTTCCAGGGTTCTAGGCCTTTACCCAGCAAGCCACATAGGTTGGAGCACAGTGAGTCAGTAACTGGGCCAGGATCCTCTGTGGTGCTCTAAGTAGGACTTCCCACTCCCAGCACTAGTCTGGCCTAGGAGAGATCTGAATAGTAAGTGACTTCCCAGGGATCCGGACTACGCGGGCCAGGACAGCAGCCACGGTACACAACACTCCCTATAACATCTAGTCCCCCACGCACTAGACCAGTCTCAGGTGCGCAACACTGATTTGGGGCTGCTTTTCTGGAAGAAGCTAGGTGATGGAGGGTCTGGGGACATGCCATCCTGGGGGCATAAAGTGGGGGGGATAGAAAGCTCTTTCTTTGGGATGGGAGAGTGAAAGAATTTTGTGGCTAGAAGCTAGAAGTGAGTGGGTGTGGGTCTTGTTCAGGTATACAGAGCTGTGTGTACCCAGAGGGTACCATCAGAGACACTGTCCTTCATCCCTGCCCAGGCTGCTATCCTGGACCTGATATACCAGAGGGGACAAAGGACAACAACCTCCCACCCTAGGAGGCCCAAAGGGAAATTTGATGGAGGGGCAGTGCTCATCCATCTCTTATCAGTGGCCCCCTTGGGAGCCTGATCTCCTCAGGAGAAGAGGATTCTGGGTCCAAAGGACTAAGGCTGGACCTCCTGCTCCCACCTCCCAGGCCCACTGGGTGACCAGGCAAGGCCCTAACAAACTGTGTTGGTCTTGGGGAGAAGGTTCTGGCCACCACAACTGGGTCTGCAGCTGGCCTCCAGCCTGCGCCAGCTGAAACACCCAGGACCTGGCCAGGAGAAATCCGGACATGGCCTCCCGGAACCAGCGAATTCGTTTCCGTCTGCCTGGGCAGGTCTGGCCGATCCCTCCTCTCCCACGGGGACTGGAGCCGCCCGGCCCGCACCTTCTCTGCGTGGCGCCCTAACTTCTTCATTTGTGTTTTAAAGACGCACCTTTAGTGCCTCCCGGCTGTAAGATTCCAGAGTCTCTCTGAACCTCAGCGGACACTGGAGACTTCCTCCCACCTCCCAATCCCCAGGACCCCTCCAGAGGCTGCTGGCCCCGGAGGCTGCTCGGTAATTTCTGGCCGTAGACAGTCCAGATGAGGAGCAGAGGCAGGAATGCGGGCTACTGCCCGGCACGAACAGGGCCCCCAAACCCGCTTCAAAGTCCAGGCTTTGTCCCCAGCCCCTCGTCCCCTCTTACAAGACAAACTCTAAGCAAAATTAGGCGTCATACATCCCTCCCCGAAACACCTCCTGCTTCCCGGATCTTCACAAACAGCTAGGGTTCACACTCATAACCACAGGGGCAAATGCCCTCTCCGCGCCACTGCTCTCGGACCCCGTCCAGCTTGTCGGGGACTCGCGGGGAAGTGGGCATCCGGCAGGCGGGGATCCCCAGCCCGGGGGCCGCGCGCCCATCGCTGGAGGCCACCTGGCTCGGCGCTCCGGCTCCCGGGACACGCGCTGGCTCTGGGCGCTCGGGGCCGCGGGAGGCCGGGGTCGCGCGCTCTCCCGGGGCCCCTCCCCCGCTCCCAGGCCCTCGGGCGAGGGGTCCCAGGGGTGCCAGATTCCCCCGGGTCCCGGGGCTCTCGGCACCCAGGGGCCGCGCACGACTTCCCTGTCTCCGCGGGGAATTCGTTGGGACCAAATCTCGGCGAATCCCGGGTCGGCCGAGGGCCGCGGCAGCGGGGAAAGACCAGGACGGCGGCGGGGCCCGCCGGGCGGCAGCTGGACCCGCACACCCGGTCCCGAGTGGGGCGAAGGCTGGTGGGGAGGGGGCTGCGAGGGTCACAGTCAGGGCCAGCTGCCCGCAGCCAAAAGCTCACAACTCCCGGCCTGCCACCGCGCCTGCCGGAAATGGTCGGTCTCTGTTCAAAAAACAGAAGAGGAACTCAGTATCCGAATTGTGTGGAGAGATGCGGAAAGAGAAGAGGAATTCACGAACCTGTCGGAGCAGAAAGGTCCGCTTCCTTCCTTGGCTTGAGGGAGCCGAATGCACTGACCAAATTCGGCGGCGACTGAGCCCTGAGCCCCAGCTCAGACCAGGCACAGACTAGCGTGGTGGCTGAGTCGGTGGCGGCCTGTGGGGCCCAGAAACCCAGGCAGGGCTGGGGTCCGAGAGGCCCGTGCTGTGCGGCCGGTGGCACACAGAGAATCTGGCTCAACCTGTTAACTAAAATAGGGCTTTGTTCCGATCTGCGCTGGGGGCTGTGTGGGCATGGCCTGAGCACTGCCTTGTGACGCCCCTACTGTGGTCGCAGGTGTGGGGTTTGCCCTGGGCCCAGGACTCTGGAGGGCATCCTGTTTACGGTGTGACTTGCAGGTGGGCAAGGTATGTTCCAGGTGTCTGAGGCTACTAAGAGGGACCTCCCTCCGGGTTGTGCAGAGCTGGAGCTGTTGGTATTCCTTCCGCTGCAAAGCTATGGGAAGGGGAGGGGTGCTGGGGCCCCGGGGCTGCCTCGAGGGCCCTTCAGGCCGGATGCGGGAGGAAACCCCATCTCTCTTGCTCTGCTCTCCCTGCTCTCCTCACACCCACCTTCACACACGACTCACTCCCACACAGCCTTCGGAGTCTTGCTCCCTAAGCAGCTCAGGGTTTCGAGCCCCACAGCCCACCTGCTGCCCCGGCAACTAACAGGAGGTACTTCCGCTTTTCCCCCCGCATGGCTTGAATGGGCTGCCCAATGCCAGCCCGGGGAGGCCCCCAACACCACTCCCCTACACCCACCCCTGGACTCCTCATCCTGGGGAGCCCGATAGGAACAGACTGAGCAAGGGCTAGAGCCAGTTTGGATTTTCCAAGGAGCTCAGAGCAGAATAGGACGGTGTGTTCGATGGAGGGGGCAGGGTGGTGAGTGGAAGGTGCATTGGGGTACCCATGTTGTGTTGGGGGGTGCCTACAAACTCCCATCTCCTCAGTCACAGCCTGCATCGCTGTGTGCAACCTCACGTGCAGACTCCCAGTGTGCAACCCCTGGGATGGGCGATGTTGCACAAGGGGAGGGAGCCGCAGGTGTGTGGGTGCTAGGCACACACACGTGCACACAGACAGTCTCCACTGCGGGCATTCTCGGTTCCCTCAAAATCACACCCGCCCAGGCCCCACGAAGCTCCTACAGGCGGATACCCCGTAGCCATTCCTCCAGGGGCACTCCCCTTCCCCTTCCCCGCCCCTCCTCCCCCTGCCCGGAGCGAGGAGGCCTAACTCGCCTTCCGGCGGCGCGGGAATGGGGATTTCC